TACCACGTCATAAGCATGGGAGGTTCATGTATGTATGATTTAGCACCTAATGCAACGTTGTAACTTTCGCTTAGTAACAAGTAGTTGGAATAATGCCTCGCCTGAGTCATACTTGTTATCCATCTGATGTCATGTGACAATGAACACACATCTCAACTCAACGTCAACGCAATGGCAATGTGCTGGCAGATATAGTTAAACTTGACTTTTCCACTATATTGTTACAAGTTGCTAGCTTCCCCGTTTCAAAATTATTGATTATATACAACTTTATATTGTGTTGGCGCATATAATGATAAAAAAGAATATTTCAATATAATTATTTAGATACTTTTTTGCAAGATATTTATCCGTGGTACAGCGATCGCCTATTATAACTGTTGTCGGATGTCGTTGTGAAAAAGTTATACTGACATGTGAGAATGTTAGCAAGACTCTATAAATAATCAATAAAACATAACCACCGACTATAATTAGTGACATAACCTAATCTATACTATTATAATCACCACCAGGAAACCTATTTTTTATATCCTGACCGAAGCATATACAAACCATCTTGTGAAAACTTATAATTAATATTTTGGTTTAATAATGTTCCATGTCTTAACTTTGTTTAAGACATTGTATCTACATAACCTACAGTTAGCGTATTTTATGATTAACCAACACAACACATCGTTTTATTCTTATCAAATAAAGTAAACTGTTGATTTCAAGACGAAGACATTGCATTTTTGGCGTGCCAAGACGGCATGTCTGGCCCAACAATGCCACAATTACAATTCCCACAATGCCGTGCAGCCCGCGTCTATTATTGTGGACCCCCTGTCCAGTTCAACGCGTCTGCCAACCGCTTCAATACGCGTTTTGACGATTTCAATGTGGTTTTATACTGTGCTACCTTTTTTCTTGGCGTTCGAGTGATTTGGTGCTCTAGGTGTATTTGGTGGTTTTGTACTTGATGAAATTGTATTTTACTCATTACATATTAGTATTGTTTAAAATTATGTTTTAGTATATTTATCGCTTTGATTTTAATTACGTACAATATTTTCTAAGATATAGGCCTATACATTTATTTGTTAGGTAATTAATTAATTTGTGCATTGAAACTTTCGGTCGTAGTACGCTACTTAATTCTTCAACATTCTTTAAACGCTGTAGAACAACTAAACCATAAATGTTTCACAATTCTTTGGCTGAATTTTGGAATTTTACTTTTATTAGAAAACAAATAATTAATGATTTATTACGATATTTAAATTACCTCATTGTCTCATAAACATCAAAATTGTGTTTTTAATCCGAATTAGATACACTCATGGTAATTTGGAATTAGGAAGCTTACAAAAATAAACTGAATTAATACAAAAAATACATGAAATTATTCTTATTGAAACACCTAAACCTTAAAAAAATGTTTAAACTTTTTTTGGAGGTGTTTTGAGTTGTACTAAAGAAGCCAATCACTATTATGATTTTTATAATTCACTTAATTACCAATAGACTATAAACTCCAAATAAACTGTTTGATAACATATTTTTGCTGTGGTTTAAAATCCTGTTTTAAATAATACAATCAACAATTACTTTTTTACCAATCTTAAAATGTAGAACATAGTTTTGAATGTATCTTAAGTATGTAGTTTATTTTTCCAAGCTTAGATGGGTTTTAAAAGTAAAATAATTCAAATGGTTTTAAAAATTTAATTCCAGTTGAGATGATGAAAATTCAACTTCTAGATTGTTCATTACTCACCTCTGCTGCGTTCACAGCTGTGATATGGTATGTGACTTGGGATGCTGGTAGAATATTAAACCTTTTATCCACGATTAAACTCTATTCCAAATAAATTTGATGAAGTGTAGCTGTTGTTGTTAGTTTGGAAATCGATAAATTTAAATTTATAATAACAAACTATGATTGACTGAAACTTGTTGAAAAAATATTCCTTAAATTGCAACTAGGCTATAAGAAAATATTTTTTGATTGTCAAATTGATGTCTTTAGTGGAGGGATAAAAATAGGCACACTTATATATAATTATTGTAAAATAGTTTGGTAATGAAATGTGTCTTGTGTAATTCTTGTTAATAAAATTTCAATACGACACGTAAATCGACTACTAAAACCATCAAACCCTGACATGCGAAAGAACTTTATTTTGAAAATAAATTTATGAATGTAATAAAACATGCCGTTCCAATCTCCTTTGGATCTAGGAATAAATAATCTACTTGCAGTAAATGTTGCAACAAGAACTTGTATCTTGCACCAGTAAACTGCCTCTACTCCAGACACATGGCAATTTTCCTTTGCTGGACTAGACTAGACTCACAAACATTGAGTTGTTAACACACACATATCTGCAGCTGCACAAACTACAGTTGTGTACTGTTGCAACATTGTATTTAAACCTGTGCAAACCCAAACATGCTGGATCTGAACACTAAGTACACCAAATCTTGACTTGTACGTAGGGGAAAGCGGGGCTATACCGTACACATAAGGGAGATTTGTATTTACATTGCAAATTACGAAGTAAAAGTAATGTAAACACAAGCAATATATAATTTAATTATTGGGCTACTGATTGTATATAAACATTTTGGAGCTATTGCATTTTTTACATGTAAAAATTGGTGAATAAAAAAAAGTTACCTTGTACGAAATAGCCCCGGGGATGGGGCTATTCCGTACAGTAGAAGGGGCTATATTATACAGTTCAAAAAACATTTGTATAGGTTAGTAAAATAATAGTACTGCAACAAATTATTTACACACTCCCCCCACCAAGTAACTCAACTCAAACCTGTAAAATACTCAACATAAAACATTGCCTTGGCAGTTTTCCTTTTATTGACCTACCAATTACAATATGCTGCTACTAGGGTGTATTTTATGCGTTTATTCTAAACGGTTGAGATCGGAATAAAGTGAAATGCCTTGTGTAGCTTTGTCACTGACTAATAACAGCTGTTTAAAGGACCAATAAAGCCATTGACTTATACATTACAGTACTACATCAATCATATTTCTTGGCCAATATTGACATAGCCACTGTTTGAATAGATATCTCATTATTTAAACGTAAGCCAGTGTAGGAATGAACATTTCCACTTGTCAGTAAAGTGTGATAAGGCCAGTCTGGGTGTTAATAGACAATGCAGGAAATAGCGTTGGACCTAGTCCAGTCACTTGTGAGGTATGGCTACTCTCTGGCACTACTACCGGTGTACTACGAGGCGGTTAATAGATCATCACTACAATAAACCGACTACTACACTGTTGCATATCTCTAGATGTTAGTGGAATAGGTTCTCATTGGCTCGACATGTGGTACTTTGATTTTATAAAATAAAATTCTTTAAATGATCACTGGTTCCCTTACAATCAGAATGGTTTACGTTGTCATTTGATAATTTTATAGAATGAAGATTTTGAGGTCCCTGCATGGTCTCAGCATTAGGCCCAGTGTACTTGATTTCCCATCCCACCCACTTTAATTCTCTCTTTAATTTGTCACATCCTGTCATAGTGCTTTACATGTTCATGTTCAAGCCTGGACACTTATTGAAGAAGGAATTATTTATTTTCGGACATCTAACTCAAGAATGTCAAAAAATTATTTACTACATTTGATATTAGAAAATTAATACTTTAATAGATACTTTCAATCGTTAATTACAATATTAATTGGTGATGTAAATAGTGACTCAAGCAGAACATTTGTGATGTAAGTGATATCACCAAAGCTGGACTTGAGTGTTATAAATATGTTGACGAGGCCACTGAGTGATCCTTCAAACTCTTCAACTGTGCTGCCGTTATCCAGCTGTAAGTTTGAGGATGGTTGTTGTTGTACTGTAAATAGTTAAATTATAATAGGCATCTTTTTTGTGAACTATGTGATATATTTTGATTTATTTTAAGAATAAAATAAAATGCAATATTAAATGAATTTTTAAATTCAACATAGATGGTAATCGATTGAAGAAGTACAGACCAAGTGACAAGGTTATTAGATTTTATAAAACACTCTTTGAGACGTTGTGAAAGGCTGCTGTGAGACTGAGGATTGTATCCAAAGTCTTTGTTTACTTGTCAAACCCATGTTAAATAAATGATTTTAGCACAAGACCTGGTATTGGTATTGGCAATGACCCCCAGGCCTGAAGCATTGACTATACATATATATAGTCAATGCCTGAAGTTAGCTTGCCCAACTGGAATTTAAAGATTGATGTTATCCTAGTTGATAGTGAGTTCCTCTAGCAATTTATAGCTCATGCTTAGAAGAGCTGTTGAGAGATGGCTTAAACTGGGTGCTGGTTACCATCCCTTGCTTTAAGAGTCTTCCGTAGTGGAAGCCATGTTGGATTTCTTCCCCATAAGAACAATGTTAACTTTGGGTCCAAATATCTCATCAGCAAATTGTCATATAATTATGGATAAGGAGTTAAATTTAAGGAATTGTGGTCCTCTAGAGATTGACGTTTTTTATTTCACAATTTTTAATTTTTATAATGAATAATTGATTATTAATTAGCTTAAAATTAAGCTAATTATTGAAAGGAAATGAAAATGGATTTTCGAAATTCAAAAACCTCAGTCACAAGTCTATTATGTTAAAAAATACAAATTATAAATTTCAAAGCTATATCTTAACAAATAACGCCGTTACGTGTCCACAAATGATATATGTTCTAACATTGTTCTTATGGGGAAGAAATCCAACATGGCTTCCACTACGGAAGACTCTTAAGTAACTAGAAGTGTGCTATGATTATCTGGCCAATAGCGAGGTATTTTACTCTGGAATCAGTTAGTTTTATAATTTTGTGAAAGATGCCATCTAAACTGGTTGCTTATCCCCTAGAAAGGACCGAAAACCCTGTTTCTATATCCTTGATTGTTAAACATGTAGACACTAGGGTCGGTACCTTATTTTTAGCTTGTTGGTGACACAAACCGATTAACCCTAAATATGTTGCAGGTATCTGTCACACCTGTGGAGAGAAGGTGACAGGTGCAGGACAGGCGTGTCAGGCGATGGGCAACCTATATCACACAAACTGCTTCATCTGTTGCTCTTGTGGTAGAGCTCTCAGAGGCAAGGCTTTCTACAACGTACATGGCCGAGTTTACTGCGAAGAGGATTACCTGGTAAGTTGTAACTAATATTTGTTTTATTTGAGTGTACTGTATGTCCAACTTTCTACCATTTTGAGGTGGAGAATTTCGGAAATAATTAGAACTCTTATGCTCGCTCAGAACTTTGATCACCTGCACCCGCGACTTGGGATGATCTTGAGTTGCTACCCCTGGCGACACGTCTTGTGACAGTGGTCGCTACATCCCGCAACTTTAGCCGCTAGGGGTGGCAATAGGGGTCTCAATCCTGGGATCCTGGGGGGCCGCGTCTCGTTGTCCCTCCGTCTAGTTGTACCTACGTCTACTTGTACCTCGAGGCCTAGGGACAACTAGTCGTAGGTACAACTAGACGTGTATCCCACCGACAAGTAGTATCACCTAGCTTGTAGGGATGCGACCAGTTGTCCCTACGACTAGTAGTCCCTACGACTAGTGGTCCCTCCGTCTAGTGGTCCCTACGTCTAGTTGTACCTACGACTAGTTGTACCTACGCGTATTTTGCGTTCTTATAGTCTAGTTGTATCTAACCTTCAATTCGTTACCCTGTTTAATTGATTACTGCACGAGTACTTTTTAATAATACCCTTCATTAAATCAGGACTGCAGTGTTCCGAGTCAATTGAGTATGATTTGCAAATATTTTTCACCGCACTACGATGTTTTTATAAGTTTTACAGACGTTAATTGAAGGCTGAAAGCTACGCATTGCTGTCCAGGGTCGAAATGGCAGCTATAGTTGTAATTAAAATTTTCCAGCCCTAGTACCGAAAATTGCTTATTTAATTACAACATTTATATAAATATACAAGCAGTATCCTTAATGAATTGCAATAGACCGCTGCCTAGCAATTATGTATTACTATTTTTGCTGATTCCTTTAAATATTTTTTCACATAACCTTAAAGTATTTGCATTGATTAGTGTGCATTTCTTATAGTCTTACAATGGATTTCCCAGTGAACAATTAACAATGAAGTGTACAATGAAGTTGAGGTCCAGCGGTTGAAAACCCGACAAAAACTATGCAAAATACAGACTTCTCTATTTAACATACACTGTAAATAATACATGTGATTGGAATATTTTCCATTTGTTTTGATTTTATTTTCATAATTAGTTGTTATTTCGTCACCAGCAAAGCAACCCGTTAAACCCATGTTAGTTTTTAAAAATTTGTAATTCTTTTTTATGTCTTTTTAGCCTATTTTAATTTATAAAGGCATTCTAAAGATCGGCAGGAAAATACATTTCCACCGATATGCGGATAGTTTCTCTGTGATGTTCACCATCTGATAAAAAGGTTGTAAAGAAACATGCTTGCCTATATTATTGACTAGCTGTTGTACCCGTGCTTTGTAACAGGAAGAGAACACGAAATAGAAACATTTTGATCTTTACATCTGTTGATAAAATAGTAACACATAAGCCTTTTGAAAACAAAATTATGCCTTTATGGCCTTAATAGGATAGCTGTTGTCATAAATGTAAAATACCCTCGCCGCAGCAAACCTGCAGACTAAGCGAATTTCCATTTGCCTGATTTGATTTTCAATTAAATCTATTCAAATAACATTAGGTTTAACGAGTACCTAGGTTTGCTGCCTACAGGGTAATAAAGTGTGTTTTTCAGTAAAATATTAACAGCTTAGTATAAAATTAATCGATTGGCCAAGTTTGATCCAAATATATGCATAAACAAGCAAACTACAAAAGTTTACTTATTCTCCATAAGAATAACATGGGAATTTTTAATTTATAATTTTCTCCGTAACCAATAACCATACAAAAACACTTCAATATACTGAATTATTTGTTTTTTAAGCTCTTCAAAATGGTCTAAAAGAAATTTGGGAAATTTTATGTTTTGAGGGTCAAAAATGAGAAAAACCAATTTTTACCCCATAAATCCCCCCATAAAACCTCGTTCCCATGGTCCGATCATGCTGGCTCGCGAACTCGTTCGAATAAACGTAGGTTTACACGTTTGTACCAAATTTCATCGAAATCGGATCATTTTTGCTCGAGTTATCGTGCTGATGGACATTCATATATATATATAAATATATACGCTTTGAAAAAGCGTCATCAATAATAAATATGAGTCTCACCCGGTTTTTTTTTTTTTTTTTATAGATTTATATATTATATATTTATACATTTATATATAAATGTTTTTCCAAATCCTGTCCAGTTCTATAAATCATCTGTATATATAAATTATATTTATTTACAAATCTATATGTTTATCAGGAATGTGAGCTATCATCATACCAAATTTCAGCCCAATCCGACCAGTATTTTTCGCGTTTACTTGTCACAAACATACATCCATCCATCCATACATCCAAACTTTCTCATTTATAATATTAGTAGGATATATTTTCTCAGTTTTGTATAGTTTGGTGAAAAATAGCAATCGCACCATGGGTCGATTTCATCTTTGTGACTAATAGGCCTACTATACAAAAACACTTCATTATACTCAATTACTTGTTTTTGTAAACTCTGAATTTAATTATTTATGATAATTGTTTAAACTTGTTGTTTAAGCTAGTTAATGTTAGTTGTCTATAGAAAGGTAGAGTTTAAGTGGAAAAAACAATGATAGCAGATCTTGACAAGAAATAAGGAAAACCAAAGTATAATATGGATAATAAGGACTGACCAAGGGACAACACAAGTACATTGTTATCAAGAACAGGGGTTTCTCAATGAGCTGCAGACAAGCCAAATTTTCCTGGCTTTTGTAGCAAGTTGTTTATAAAAAAATTGTTGTAAGATTGTATGATTAAACAAATAATAAAATAAATCCCTTAAACTGGTGACAAGTTGAAGGGGAGATACAACTAGCCGTGGGTTCAACTAGACGTAGGTACAAGTAGGCGTAGGTATAACTAGTCGTAGGTACAAGTAGTCGTAGGTACAAGTAGTCATAGGTACAAGTAGTCGTAGGTACAAGTAGTCGTAGGTACAAGTAGTCGTAGGTACAAGTAGTCGTAGGTACAAGTAGACGCAGACGTATGAGGTACAAGTAGACGGTGGCGTACCCGACCAGTTGTACCTGTAGATTTTTAAGAGGTACAACTAGACGTAGAGACAACTAGTCGTAGGTACAACTAGACATCCACACCATCGTCAAGTTGTACCTACAGCTTTGGACGAGGTACAACTAGACGTCTGTCACCAAAATGCAGCAGGTACAACTAGACGCCGGTACAAGTAGACATCGCCCCGATCCTGGCTGGGTTTCAATACCTTGAAATCCCAAGATCATAAATCATACAGATTAGTGTGCTGATTTAAGGAGTTTTACTTGACAAAAGCCTAATACAAAAAGAACACATTTGATATGGCAAACATAACTTGATAATCTGTGATAGAAATATTATTTTCTAATACTTCAAAATCAAATCAAATCAAAAATCACTTTATTCAGCTTTATAAATGCAGGAATACATTATTAGTGGTAAGAATAGTATTCCCCCGAATGGACTGCAAGTCCGTGCTCGAGGGAAGAGCTCTTACCAGCAGGAAATATGTTTTTGTTATTGTCCATAGGTCAAAAACATGTGCACACTATTTATAAATAATGTGTACATCTATACTTAAATACGTAGCAGGAGCTCTTAAAAAATATATATATGCTATATAAATATATTGTATACCTACTAGAATTATTTAACAATAAACAGCCTTAAGCAACAATAAAAATATTAATCTATGAAGAAAAATGTATTTTGATAGCTATTATGGCGGTGTTTGATGTCAGAGATCAATTTAAATGTAAGGCGAGCGAATTAAAGCCTCTGCAGCCTCTCACGTTATTTTTCAACGAACTATAGGCTAGTTGTGGAGTGCGGTATCCAAAGTTATGTCTGTGTCTAGTGTGATAACTGTGTTGTAAGTTAGAAAAAAATAAGGCTTACTAACGTAAGCCTGAACAAAACACCAATTGCATTTCTAAGAGATTTGTGTTATCATTCTGTCTTTGAAATTAATTCTAGATTAGTGCGCTAAATACTTGCATTTTGTCATGCTGCAGCAAAAACAGCGGTTTTGTGATACATGCGTTGGGGGTCTAAACTAATGTAGTTATTTTTCTCCTTAGGGAGTAAAATGCAGCTGTCGTAAGCTTTGATTGTAAGCAATTGTACATATCGTTAGGAAATAGTATATGTCAGTTTGTGAATTCTGTTTATTACCTACAGGGTGATTGATATAAGTGTGCCAGCCATTTTATTCGAAAACTATAGGAGATATCAAAAAAAGTTAAATGAAAAGTGCCTTGGATTTTTTATTAAAAAAATTGTAGTCAAGTCAAAAAAATTATTTTAGCCGCCATTTTTCTAATAAGCTATGGCCGCCAACTTGGATTTTTCTTACGGGACACCCTGTATTTTATGATGTATTCCGGTAGAAAATATAATTTTAAGACAATTTTATTCTTGTAATTTTTTTCATAAACCTAACCGTTTTAAAGATAATAATGGTTAAAGTTTTGAAATTTCGGCATGAGAAAGAGTTTCGTTAAAGGTCTAAGCAAGCATGCCAGCTGTTTTATTAGAAAACTATACAAAATTTCACAACTTAAACCATTATTATCTTTGAAACTGTTAGGTTTATGAAAAAAATTACAAGAATAAAATCGTCTTAAAATTACATTTTCTACCGGAATACATCATAAAATACAGGGTGTTCCATAAGAAAAACAAAGTTGGCGGCTATATTGGAAAAATGGCGGCTAAAATAATGTTTTTGACTTGACTACAGTTTTTTAAATAAAAAATCCAAGGCACTTTCCATTTAACTTTTTTTGAAATCTCTTTTAGTTTTCGAATAAAACGGCTGGCACACTTATATCAATCCCCCTGTATGTACTTCTAATGTCACAATTTGTTCCAGTATTCGGGCTTTCAACAAACAGCAGAGAAGTGTGCCATCTGTGGACATCTCATCATGGAAATGGTAACTCAACAAAGTTTTTCTTTAGAGTTTAACTGTGGGGAAACGTTTAATTTAGTTTAGTCCAATCAAGTTTTGAATTGATGTTTAAAAGTAATGAGAAGTAAAGAAAATTTAAGAGAAAATTATATTACATTTAAAACCAAATTTTCTTTATCTACTTTTTGAACTGATTATGTTTTTCAATTCATTTGCTGCAACTAATGAATCTTTTAACATCTTAATGAGAAAAAGAGCCAAAACAGTACTTAATTGTATATTTAAAATCTAGACTGCAGGTTTCTTCTGATCAACTTAGATCCACCTCATAAAATCACATTTCATAAAAAAAACTAGGTAAATAAACAACCCACACAGCACCTGAAAATGTGAACAACCCCAGTCAGCAAAATGAATACCTTCAATTGGAGATCCTATGAAATTTAAAACATAATATTATATACAGGGTGTCCCACAAAGGGGTTGCTGTTTTTGAATAAATAAACCAGACGTATCAACCAAGTTATAAACTTGAAACTCTACAGTCGTAAAATCGTGATAAATCCATTTGAAAAACAATACCCATGAACAAGCAAAAATGCTATGCTTTTTTAGAAGTTACCATAATTCTTCAATTTTGTCAAGCCTCTTTACGTGTAGCTTACTACATAAATTACAAAATGAAACTTTGAACAATACTTTAAAAAACATATACAATGTTTCTTTAAAACAAACATAACCCTCCTCAATCTACATAAAGCGTCACAACATATTTTTTGAGTAAATAAACAAACACCAGTTCATTGTACTGACCAGCTGTTTCATCAACTAAATTAAATTAAATCATTTAAACTTTGGAAGCATGCCAGGTGTAGCCCTTTGGAAATCAGCCTGTGGCAGAGCCCTTAGGATATTCGGTTATATCGATACTTTTCGGCAAATCTACACATTCTAACAGGGCCGGACTTACCTATGGGCGAAGGGGGCGAACGCCCGGGGCCCCCGGGCCAAGGGGGGCCCCGCCAGGGGCCCCCTTTGTACATTAGTTTTTATCATTAACTTCGAAAATTGATCAGACACTTAACAAATGGCCTTCTTTTGTAACAGCTTTATTTTTATTTTCGCTATCCTATGCTTAAGGTTATTGTTAGGTGCATTTTAAGGCATTACTAGGAATGAGATTCTTGACCCTAAGGGACTTTTTCTCAGAGTTGCACTGGGCCCCACGCTTAGGCCTGGTTTACATGAGCTGAGCATATGTGATAGGCTGTGACGGACAAGTTTCAGTTTCAATGAATCCGCTCGCCCGAACGTACGGCCGCGGCGAATGGGTTGAAGGGGGTCCCGCGCTTGGGGCAAAAATACAATAAATATGAAAACTCTAGTCCCAACGTAGAACGTAACTTGTAAAATTGTATTGTGTTAAATGGAGATTCACTGGAGTTCAAATACTTTTAAAAATAAAAACATTGCTCCGTTTATGTTTTATTAAATGTTATTCTTTTCTTTTACCTCTAAGTATATACCAATCAGGATTTTAAGGGGTAGAAGTATATTATCCGTTCAATTGAAAGGTTTTGTAAAATAGTAATTAATTAAGTTATGCGTCCAAATTTTGATCTCCAATTACGTCTTTGGAGTCAAAATCATATACTGTAGCAACAGTAAGATTTTTAAAATCTATATAGACACTTTAAAACAACTAGAGTCGTCTGATGTTAACAAAAAATTACATTTATTGGGATTGGGCGAGCGTTGTCGTATGAAATCGTAAATAAGCGAATAAGCAGAAGCAGCTGCAACAATAAATGATGATGAGCTGATAAGGGATCCTGTCTAGTCCTGACTCTCACGCACGCGCATACACACACATAAATGCCTTATCGCCTATCCAAAACAATTTAAATCACTTTACTCCCATAGTTTGTCCTTTGAGACTAGTGGTCACGTCAAGTTGGTTGAAATTGTCTTACTTTTGTGTTATTTTATTGTAATTCTGCAAACTAACAGTACAAAAACAAAGCTGAAGTGAGTAATGTTGTATTCAATGCTATGTTTGTGTTGTATTAATCGATATTGGATCCATTTAAACATCTTTCAGTTACTCATATAAATACTTAGCTTGTGAGTGTTTATTAGACATTGCAAGATTTTGCTCCTCAATAAAAAAACTCAAACTTGAAAGTCCCCAATGGTACTTTTCATGCTAGGACTTTAACATATTATAAAAACGAGAATGCCATAGGTACCAAAACCATTATGAAAATAAAATAATCACACCTATATTGTAGTAATATTGAAAAACCATACAAATCGACGGCAATAATCGATAATTTAAATACGTAATAAACAAAAATATATCAATACTTCTTATCCAAATATATTATGGTAGCCTACCATGATACCATACCAAATATGCCGTCAATACATTTTTATTTTTGTGTATAAAATTAAAATATGCTGTATATAAAAATATGTTAAAATAGTTATATTTTAAAAATTTTTTTTATATAGAACTTATTGCTTATTTGGCCTTAAATTGCTCTATTTGAAGCCTAAATTTAGAAAATTTTCCCGCGGGAGGACCCCCTAATCCCACTGGAGGACCCCCCCCCCTGAACTGAAATCCTAGGGCCCCATTGGAAAATTTGCCCGGGGCCCCTGAAGTCGTAAGTCCGGCCCTGCATTCTAAGCTTCATTTTGATGTGCCATATGCCTATATTTTTATTTGGTAAATGGCCTTAACCGTTTACATAAAATTTGATTGTATCACTTTAATAATATAATAGATTATTGCTTTGCAAACAAACAGAGATCACAAGAGCCTCAAATATTGTCTGGTTTTGTGAACAAACATCTGTTTTTTGTTGTTATTTGTTATTCAACATTGAGAAAAAAATCATCTGTTGAAATGGATTTTGCAATAACCAATAATATGAAAAAGTATTACGACACAGTATTAACGAAAAATACACTTGTTGATTTTTGTAAGGGTTGATTTTGGTATCATGCACCTTACTGTTTTATTATAAGACCTACTGATGTTTAAATGTCCTTGTTAGATTCTTCAAGCTATGGGGAAGTCGTACCATCCTGGCTGTTTCCGATGTTGTATGTGCAACGAATGTCTTGACGGCGTTCCCTTCACTGTTGACGTTGACAACAAAATCTACTGTGTCAATGACTATCACAGGTATGGAAACAATCAGTTATTAAAGCACTCCAGCAGTGTGTGTAAAGCTAGATTGTAGGTAAACCTCAACCTAGAGAAATTATGGTTGTGGAGGCAAGTGATCTACGTTTGGGTCTTGAATGTAGAGCCAGATCACAGTACCTACTGAGAGTTTATTTGGGAACTTGAGAGCTATTTACTGCTGTAAACTTGGTAACCCTTTAATTTGAATAATTTCAAGTCTATAGGTTATGATGTATTGGTTCCCTATCTTATAGTGACATAAAACTAGATAGCAAGTCATGCAAAATAATTAGTATGAACTTGATGAGTTTGATTTCCAATTTAATTGATCATTAATTAGGTCTATCATATTCTTTGTTACAGAATGTTTGCTCCGAAGTGTGCAGCTTGCGGGAAGGGAATAACACCTGTGGAGGTAGATATTTGTTAATACTTTAACAAAAAGAAACACATTGGACACAAGTACATTCTTGGACTTGTCTAACAATACATATAATTATCAGACAATATGTCGTCATTGTGTAGCTTAGTTTTGATAAATCACATGCCTAAGTAGAACCTTGTGTCTAGTGCGGTAGGTAGGTGGAATAGGGCGGAAAATGATAGGGCAGAGACTTTGTAGTAGAACTAAATTTTAAACATCGTTTCACAAGTTCCTTGTATTTTTAAGTTTTAACAGAATCCTAAATAGACAATAGATTTAAAATTATTAGATAATTAATAAAATTATAAAAAGACAATGGATTCTAAATTGTAAGATATTTTCTCATGAGTTCTTAGAATTTTTAAGTCTGATATGTTTTCAAATTATCTATCTTCAAAAGGGCATTACTTTTATATCAACAGTGTCATAAGCATGATATGTACTTCATTATAATTCCTAGAATAATGACGTTGGATCTATTCTATTTTTCAGGGAACAGAAGAAACAGTCAGAGTTGTTTCAATGGACAAAGACTTCCATGTCGACTGCTACATATGTGAGGTTAGTCAGCATTTTTACCAAGTTCCTACGATACTCGAAGGGTTGGACTGGTCTCCCTTTATTTAGAAAGTAGGGACACAAATCTTGAGAAAATTAGGAAAATGAAAAAGTTCCGTTAGTTTAATTATTTTTAAATGTAAATTACAATATTAAATTGATTTTTATTGAAGGGTATAAGGGGTTCATTGTATTGTATTGGTTTACAATTGCATGTTAACAAGCTTGATTCATTTAGGTTGAGATATTTTATGTAATTCAAAGCTGTATACTCCACTAACCGTAGTTATACTAGAAGTTGGCTCTGTATGGAGTGAGTGTATACAGTACTGAGAGACTGTGTTGTGCAGGAGTGTGGCATGCAGCTGACAGATGAGCCAGACAAGAGATGTTACCCTCTGGACGGCCACCTCATGTGTAGGTCCTGTCACGTCTCTCACCTCAACCACCACCCTCGGACACTACAGGTACCACCATCACAAACTAATCTCCTCTTGCAGCTTTCTACTAATAAAAGTATAGATGTAATAATATTTGATTCTTTTTAAATATTTAAGATCGTCAACGTGTTATTTTGTGTAACCTATCAATCCAGATCCAATTTGAATTAGAAATTCTGACGTCAGATTTCCATTTGGAGACTGTCTTCATCCGAAGTCAAGACATTTTTAGTATATCCATATGATGGTCCTTCAACCCCAACGACAATGGGAATGATTGTTTTATTGGTCCTCAGCATTTACGATGTTGAAAAATCTATTTAGTCAGTGTTGAAATTATTGTTAATTTACAACCTTGACTAGTTTAACAGCGTTTGTGTAGCTTCCTGTGTCTACAATTTCTTTTCACTGTGGTGACCTTGCTACTGCATATGGTGCAAATCCACTTGACCTGCTGTTATAGAGCAATTTTATTTTTATTTTGTGTTTTCCTACACCTTTGGTATTTTCTTACGTCTGTCCAGGGAATGGTTTCAACCCTGTTCATGTTCCTGTCTATCGTCCATCTTTTGTTTGATACCATGATGAATTAGTCACTGGCAAATTATGGCACCTGTGTCTGAATCAATCTTGCTTGGAATCAAACTGAAACCAGTGACCTTCGGATTTGTAGGCAAACATTATACCCATATGGCTACATAGACAATTAAGACATACAAGCATTCCTCTTAGCTTAAAAAAAAAAACTATGGTATATACAAACAGTTGATGTATTTTCAATTCTTTTTGTGTGGAAAATTTGAGTTGCGTTGTGAGATGTCTGGCTTTGTTTTTAGTATCAAATATGTTCTGAAATTGAATCACCACAAAAGAAAAATTTTCTAGACTTGTTCGTTTATTGACCTTAATGAATCACTAAAAATACAATTATTGAATTTGAATTGTGTGAGTTGAGTTTAAGTCCCTAAAAAGCTCAAAATGTAAAACAACTTATTTTAATATTTAAACAAACTAAGAATCAAATGATTTATTTGTCAAGATGGATATGCCTGTACACCATATCTTTGTGTAAAATAGTACCTTTGTTTGCTTTGGTTGTTGTTATCATATTATGAAATCCAATGTTTGTCCTTTATGCGTTACTAAATGACCATCTGATCGTTATGAAACTTTAGGGAAGTAATAAGTACTATACAAAACAAAATGAACGGTTTTATTAGCAACATTGAGTAATATTTTATGGTTTGAGGGTTCCATATCACAGTTTTCAAAGCCAATATTGAGAGTTGTTAGAAAATCTTTGGTTTGGTTTTTGGTTTTTAAAGTCTCAATTATAGGACAATGTTATCCCTGGTTTTAATATAGTATACAGTGCATTGCAGAGTTAACTGGCTAAAAGGTAAACCAACTGCGTGTATTAAATACAGACTTGGAAATGTAGCGCGATCAACTACATTAAGGTAAACAAAAATCAGCTGTGTATAGCTTCCAATGCTATTCTTATGGAGAACATTTTACGATATATCTAAATTTTGGTTAAAATTTGGGAATTCCAATATTTTTCCCGCCATCACAGAATAGATACCTTTAATTTCAGCCCCCTCCCGTCGTTCTACGACATCCCAGTTGCCCACAATTTTGACGCAAAGAAACGCCTTACGTAATATTAATATATATATTATTAATAATTATATAACTCTTAAAAAAAAAATATATATTAATATATAGATACAGTACCAACAATTGTTAATAATTTTCTTGCACATTATACTGTTTTTCTAATCTTTTTGGTTCGGATTTCTGATGTTTTGTGTTTGAAAAATGTGTATGAGAGAAATGCACCATGATTATGGTGCATTGGGAGATTTCCCAATCAATCAATGAATTCATCAATCAATGATGGTGTTCACGACCATCTGGGACTGGGTATATGTTTAGTTTAAGGGCTCCAGACGAATTTTGAAAATAGTATTTTTTTCTCATTATATGGCCTATTTTTAACACTTATTTCCTCTGTTACTTTTGGAGCAAAAGCCCATTTCACCCTGAAAATCGCATTTGAAAATAGTAAAAAGCGCTAGAAATCTGTGAATTTATTTTTGTTAAAATGTTTTTGATACTTTTTGTGTTTTCTTATTATTTAGGCCTTTTCAAACACTTTTTCCTCTGGCACTTTCTCAGCAAATGCTGTTTTTACCCAGAAAATCCAGTTTAAAAAGTCATATAAATACCAAAGTGCCAAAAATGACCGATTTTTGAGTAAACCAAATTAAATATTATCTCACCTAACCTAACCTGACATAATCCATGCTTAGGTTAGCAAAGTGCCGAAAATTACCGATCAACAGGTAAACCAAATTAAAATCCAACCTAACCTATGCTCTTTAGTTGGAGTCAAGTGAGTAGCTTAGCTTAGGTTAGCAAGTTTGAGCCCTCAGGTTAGGCTAAGTTAGGTTAGGTTAGGTTATTTGTCTTGGTAAAAATATTTGCTGATTCATAGTGCTTTTCACGATTTTCAAACACGTTTTTCAGGGTGAAATAGGTGTTTGCAGAAAAAGTGCCAAAGAGAAAAAGTGTTTAAAATGGCCTATATAACAAGTAAAACATATAAACAGTATTAACAAAATTTTTTTTCTTCATAAAAATCAATCAATTTATAGCGCTTTTCTTGATTTTCAAACGTGATTCTCAGGGTGAACTAGGCGTTTGCCCCAAAAGTGCTAGAGGAATAAAGGGTTTATAATAGACCAAATAACGAGAAAAACTATTATTGCCGGTTCCTCTTATACAGTATAGGACTACACACATAATGTGTGGTTGTAAATCATATCCATCCTTTTCAGACTTATTAGATTGGATAAGGGTCTGGTCTTGAGGTGTCAAACCATCATGAGATAGTCCTTGTTTTCTACCAATTTTTTATTAACGTTGATTGTGCTAACAGGCTCAAAAACCATCACAACTCACCCCAATCCCTTGTCATCATGTTTAAAACTTGAATTCATTTTTTATCCTTATTGCATTATTTTATGTATAGAGACTAGTATTTTGCCTCAATATTCCTCTAAGAATTACATGAATGATTAGTTTATAGTGGCGTGTTTAGTCTACTTTTCTATAGTTCTAACTTGGTTTAATGTTTATGTAATGTGTTATTGATTTTTGTTGCAGAGCGTTTCAGCAAGCTACCAGTACATGAGTTAAGGAAAATGCAAAATAATTTAAACCGGTTTATTTAAAAAAAGTTTTAATTTAGGATATATTTTGTAACATATGTAGTTTTTATTTTACTGTCATGAACACATTTTTAGCCTATGTTGTTTGTAATTTATTTAATTTATAATTGTACATTTACAATTCTCTATTGACACTATTTTTAATCGGTATATAGACATTTGTTGAAACTTTGTTGTGTATTTAATGATTTTAAGAAAGTTAAAAAGAAAATAAGTATTTGGTATTATATGGACTATTTACATTTTTTTATGTTATTGGTCAAGGTCTCGTGCTTCATAATTCCAGTCCATCATACGAGGGTCGTTTTTTTTAAGTGAGGGCCGTTTGTACGTACAGCTCCTCAGTTTGTGTATCCAGCATGTGGCTGGAGATTAAATACTTTTACAAATTTTCTAGACACACAATAAAGTGTACATGTCAGCTACAGAGCTGCAAATGGTGCCATTCTGTTTACAGATGATGCCAGTAAGCCAAGGCCCCACTAGAAAAACAGGCCATGCTGCAGGATCCATGACGTCACACTTAGTGGATAGATTTCATTGATAAATTCATTGCCATCGCCATATGTTTTAGTTTTAGGTAAATAAACCAGCTGGCTGTTTGTAAGATTTTAATGGTAAGAGTTTAGTACAACTATCCACCACTGTGGCGTAGTGTTGCGCTGCCTGTACTGCAGCATAGCCTGTTTTTTACTAGTGGTGCCTTGAGTAAGCCCAGATGATGACCCTTGTTGCAAAAACTGGCCTTATTTAAAAACACCCCTCGTAAATAATCTATGGCTGTTTCATGTTTTGGATCTTGCAGTTTTCACAATATGGACTGATATGCACTTAGTAGACTGATTTTATTACATAAATAAGCTTATCCGAAGAAAACACAATTATATATTTAGATGTTTGTTATCCTTTTTTCACCCAATTTCTTTTGATAATATTTGTACAGTATTATTGCACATTTTAAACATATTTAACATAATAATAACAGCAGCAATTGTTTTTGGGTGGGTATTAAATGGTGTGCACAAACTTGCAAAACAGCAATCCATTTTGTTCAGTATTTATTTAGTTTTAGTATAATATATTCATTTAATGTATTATTCATGATACCCACCTCTAATGTCTGAGAATACAAACAAATTTTTCCTCAAGTAAAGACCCTCATAACCCTTCTTAATAGGTAAAATAGGTTACTTCAATTTAATTTAACATTGTTAAATTTTAATAAGTAAATTATAAATAATGATAATAATACGTACACACATACATACATAATACACATAATAATACATAATAAATACATAATAATAATACAAAGCTATAATGTGTAATAGGTTTGACCGTTGACTATAAGGTTGATGGTTTAACTTCTGTACTAAAGAATTGGTGTTTTACAAATGTAAATACCTGCATTCATGCAATCAATGTGTTGCTAAATTGCGACCGGTTTCAACTCGCGTAGGAGCCATCGTCGGGCCAGTATAGATGTCTTCTCGCTTCATTCAAAGGTTATAATTTTATATTAAATAAATACATTTAACACGCACACGTACATGAACATAAAAACAAACATTTATGGTTAAAACGAAGGGCAATACTATAACGGTAATGGGACACGACGTGATCGGGCTGGCCCGATGTTGACTCCTATGTGAGTCGAAAACCGGTTGCAATTTAGTAACACATTGATTGCATAAATACAGGTATTCACACCAATCCCATAGTATTTAAATGCGATCAGGAGGCTAAAATTCAATATACTGTAATAACTTCTGTAATTTATTGATTACATGAAAATTAATGATTAATTAATAAATTTTAATGTTACAAATGTTTAATGTTATGATTAATGATAAATTAATGTTACAATTTGATCTTGTAATGGTATATTTGATAAAATCCTGAGTTTTTTTTCTTTAAAACTATATTTAAGATCAGCTTCTCTGTGCTAGATAATATTGTAAATGGTAGTATGGATGGATCTAGTAGATGTATCTAGAACATACATTATAAATAAATATATTGTTCCTCTTGTCTGTGAAATAGATTAACTTATTTACAAATAAATCCAAATAATTTATTAGCAGTTAATGGTACACACACTATTCACACTAATAGGGTGTAGAATTTTCATTTGCTTTTCTATCTTTTTCCATACCTACATAATATTTAAAAACAATTTTTTTCATCATGATTTATTTTTTGTCTTAAGACGCTAGGCAAGGGCTCGGGATTCTTTTTCACATTACTTCAGGCTAGACCTAGAGATTGCAGTATTATCACTTAGATAAAATCCATTGGTGATTTGGCGGGATTTGAACCCTGATTTGAATCTTGAATCTTGAACCCGGAACCTCAGATATCGAAGACCTATACTTTCTTTATAAAGCTATTTTTCATCAAACTAGTAGCTTTCCCAAGTTTCTTTATGCTCGTGTGCTTCACAATACCATAAATTCTTCTGTTTGAACACCACACTGATTTATAGCCTATTTGTCAATAAATTTTGTCTTTAATTATTAACTAGTGGTTAAACATTCCCAGAATTATGCTATTAGTTTGTAATTTATTTTACATTTGACTATGAATTTTGGTTGATGAAATGTAATATGCTATTGTGTAACAAAAAATTTCTATTATTAGAGTAGCATCCCCCCTAAAACTTCATCTTCGTCAACATATAACAATGTACATATAACAATAACATATTATTTCATTGTAGTAATAAAATGTACATTGTATGGTCGCCATTTCAATGAAAAAGTATTTAAAAAAGTATCATCCTGAACAAAGGTGTTTGGGGAGTTAAAAACAAATAAGCCTAGAGAAAAGAGTCCTTGTCAGTATTTCATAATAAAATATTAACTTGTCGTAGATTTAATTTTAATTAATATGTTATTATTGTTAAACATCACTACACAATCATGCACTGCGGTTACAGGTTGTAGTGGGCAATAAGTGTTCAATGTGAATACTGTACTTACTCTTATTCCATCTCTAACAGTTAAAAAATATAAGTCTTCCTGTGAAGGATTCCTCATGCCAATTTGTTTATTGTTGCTTAGTATTTGTTCTTCAATCAATCAATTTTATTTATTGAGGTTTCTTTAAGAAATACAATAGTGTCATATAACATAGATTGTAATTTGAATTTTTATCTTGCTTAACCACTTATCATGGCTCATAAGAAATTGGTTTGGTTTTGAAAAAAATGTCAATCCCCACTGTAAAGTTAGCAGTTGTTTATTTATGCCTTTGACTATGGATACGCTTTGAATTTAACATCCCATTCCTACATCAAATTGTAGCCAGATAGAATGGTGCATAATGTAATAAAATATAACTACTGTACCATCTTAAAATTGTTTACAGATGCACCAACTTTTTAAGATGAAAAAGCACTTTATCAAATCAAATCAATTTATTGTTGTAGACATTTCACAATGTTTTAACAATCGTCATAAAATACATAAATTAATACAGCAAATGAATACTTAGATGTAATCAATCAATATAATAAGTTCTAGTATTAAAAAATATATAAATACAGGCACAATTAAATAGAAATATTTTGACATGTAAAAAAATCCTCCACTGTATATGGGCATTTTTGTATTAAATATGTTTTCAATTTTGATTTGAAAGTGTTCAAAATTGAAAACATATTTTTAACAAAGGCTATAAGAGATTTGTATTTATGAACAGTATGTCCATGATATTTGATATCAAAGTAAACACTAAGAGATCAGATTAAACTATATCAGTTTTTTTAAAGGTTGAATATGTACTTCAGTATCCAAAGTCAATTGCGATCCCCAGAGCACTCTTTAATTGTTGACCTCTAAGTTGTTGTTGGTTCTGAAGTCTAAGTTATTCGTCTGGGATAGGCCAGACTATTCCAAGATAAGTTTGAATGTGTATATTTATGTGAAATTGACTGTTGAGGCTCCCTTCAGCTTAAGAATCAGCAGATGTGAATATTGTTTGTGCTCTAGGCTACATGATACTAAAAGACACAATTTTATGTTATAGTTATAAATAAAGAAATTACAATGTAACTTTCAGAAATTTCTTATTTGCCCTTTAACAAATTCGCTGCGACCGGCCAAATGGCAGGCGTTGCCCCAGCGCAGCGTCGAGCGAACCCGTTTGGCTTTCAAATATTTTGGTCTGACGAATAGTAAATGACCTGCGGTGATGTGCTGTGTTACGACGAGAGTCTAGTTTGCTAAAACACTCAAAGATAGCAGCACTGCCTGGAACTAGCCGGTCCCATTGTACCGGGTGATTCAAAAAGGACTTAATACAACTTTGAAAATTCATGTAAATTTTATTAATCAAGGTAAGCTGGTTTTGGTGTTGTTTTAAAGGAAAACACTTCAAGTTTTTTTACCTTAAACTACAAAAAACATAATAATAGACACACAACAAAGTGTACATGTCAGCTACAGAGCTGCAAATGGCGCCATTCTGTTTACAGATGATGCCAGTAAGCCAAGGCTCCACTAGAAAAACAGGCCATGTTGTAGGATCCATGGCGTCACACTTAGTGGATAGATTTCATTGATTGATGATTTTGGTTGGATAGAGAAGCATGTTTCTTTTATTGTGTAATAAGCATAATGATATTGTGAGATTACATATTGGAAAATGTATGTTTATCTTCAAATCTTTAGTTTAAGGCAAAAAAAAACTTGAAGTGTTTTCCTTTAAAACAACACCAAAACCAGCTCTGTACCTTGTTGAGCGGAGCGAGCGAAGCTCTTTGAGATCGGACCTTATGCAAACTATGTAATCAATTAACTCAATAACGGCTGAACATATTGAATCCAAACTTACCAGGGGTCTTTTGACAAATATTTTTGATGTTTCGAAACAAAAAAAATTTCAATTTGATGATACCTGTACAATTTAAGACTGACATAAAATTTTCAATGTTTAACATGAGTCTTATGAGTTGCCATGATGGTTACGAGATAACAACGTAGATGTAAACAAAGAATCGTAGCATATGCGACTCGACATTCTGTACCCACGGGCACCTCAGCTTGCACATGCACATATGGCCTATTTACAAAAGACAGTACAAAAGAAAAGGAGTCCGATGAATACCATTAAGCGTTGATTAACAATACACCGATTCGCATTATTTCTGGCGGCCTTACTGAATTATTCCAAGCAGATTATTTCTTTTAATTGTTGTTATTGCTATTAGTTTTGTGGAAAATATTAGTCCGGAGTTTGGTAACTTTTTATGACGATTAGATTAAGGTATCTGTTATCCTAAAATGCTATGGGAAGGGAGGGAAACAGGTCCGCGACGTAGGAAGTGGTGAAGGAAGTAGTAAAGGTGAGCGGTCCTGAGTGTGGGAACTGTTTATGACGATTAGATTAAGGTATCGACAGTCCTAAAATGTTTATATTTAATATATTTAACTATACTTGTTAACTTGTGTTGTCCAATTTATAACTTATAAGTGTGGAAATAATTTTCTCTGTGCAGATATACAGACACAGTTACAATTACACATGCCAATGTTGTAAATATATGTTCAGTAATTTATGTCTGTTTTTTTAAATGTATATATTTTTTATTTGAAAGTCTGACGCCATCAATCCCTTTTGAGTAAAAGGTGAAGATAATAAGGTAATATTTACAAAAAGTAGAGCCTAGACTGCTTGGCCTGTACGGGAGTCCAGTTATAAAATAAGCGTGATATAATATTCCTATTTTTTCCGTAATACTATAAGATGAATTATTACAGCTATAGAACAGCATGTTTGGCATTTTTATGTCAGGTTGAAAATTTAGTACAACGCAATAAATAGGCTTTAGGGTACATCAACACAGTGCAGGTTCTCAAATTAAATTGCCATAGCCTAATATAAAAACGTCTGTTATATTTGATTTTAATAATTTTGTTGTACAGTAGTTTATTATGCATATACAGTATTTTACTTAATCATGCTGTAATTTAGCATGAGGAATAAATTGTTAAAATTGAATCAACTATTCTTTAATAACACTCACACAATAATAACTTTTATTTACTTATAATCATAACAAAACGAGATATATAACATATGATTTTATAAAACAGGTAATAAGTAAATTGGATGATGTTGTAACTCCAACACACCCTCTCAACATCATGCCTAGTAAAGTCCTAGGTAAAAGAGTGATCTTTTAAACACTTGCCCTGGAAGTGGCTTTGTTAAAAGGTCCGCTTGATTATTTTAACTTGGACAGTATTCCAGAAATACTTCGTTCTTATTTATCATTTCTCGGACGTAATGTTTTCGAATATCTAAATGTTTTATTCTAGCACTCATCTTTTCATGTCAATAAACTTGATACAGCTCTGATTGTCTTCAAATATTACTGTAGGATTTTCTTGGGGGAAGCCCATATCTTTCAACAATAGTCTTAACCACACTACTTCTTGAGTGGCTAAGCTTGCGGCCATGAATTCAGCTTCTGTTGAAGAAAGAGTGACATTGGTCTGTTTTTTGCTAATCCAGTTTATAGTGCTGTTTCCTAACTTGTACATCATTCCGCTGATTGATTTTCTATCTGCTAAGTCACCCCCCCCCCCCCCCAATCAGCATCTACATAGCATGACAATTTCAATTCTTTTTCCACCCCTAATTTTAATTTCTTGTCAATGGTACTTTTCAGATATCTTATTATTCGCTTTACAGCATTCCAATCACTTTGGGTGGGTTTTTCAACTCTTCTAGCTAGAATTCCAACAGCTGACAAAATATCCGGTCTT